GACACTGAAGACTGGAGTAATGGCTGCTGAAAATTCAGCTTTGTGACAATCTCTTGACAAACTGCTCTGCCTCAACTTTCTTATTTCATTACTCATGTAAATAGGCAAATGGTGCTTGATGACATTATCACTATGCCAAACATTGTTGGAAAGTCAGCAGGGCCATTAACTCAGTAAGGTGTCGCTGGGTCTTTTAACACCCACTACTGTGAAATGCTGCCTGATTGTTGTGATCTTTTATTGCATATGTAAATGAAGAAGACAACTGAAAATCTGCTATTGTGAAACTGGATTTACCTGTTGGCCAGACAGACTCCTTGGTGGGCAAAATAAGCTACAACGTTGACCGGCTTTTATATTGAGAGAGAGAGAGAGATATATATATATTTTTTTTTTTTTATATATATCATTTTACATCAGCCTCACATATTACTGGAAAATCTATAGACTGCAGACAAAACAGGGTGGTGCTCCTACACTTTAGTGTATTTGTTATTTAAGCTTTTAACAGCTTTTTGTGTTTAGGCCATATCTCAGTTTATTGTGAAGCCTCACAATTAACAGTTTCAAATGCTGAACTTTAAAATGATGTGAAACATCTTTTTAAGATGTTCTTTTCTCCTGCAGGAAACTGCTGTGGAGAGAAACCTTTTACCTAGGGGCCAGCCATATCTTGTACAACTTCAAAGAGGTGATGTTTAAAATGTAAAGTTGTGAATAAAATATAGTTAAGTGCGACATTGTCCTCTGCTGTTTGTGTGGGTGTGCAGTTTTCTTTTTTAAGGAATATAGTCAGGCAGACTTTGTAACATTCATGGGAGCTCTTCGTGTGTGGGAAGGACATGGGGTGGGTTTGAAGAAAAGATTGAGGAGAAAGCGAGATTAAAATAATAGAATCTTAAAGTAGATGGGCTGCATTTTTAAGTTTAAGTTTTGATGTCTGGTTTAAAGATCATTAGATGTAAGATACGAGCTTCGATGATAAGTATGAAGAGCATGAAACACGGATGGACAAATACTTGACTATGTAAATAAATGCATGAAAATAGTTTTATACACGTTCCACCAATTTTCCTGCTCAAAACAAATGGGGTTGTTTACTGTTTCTATGTTTGTCTACATGAACAAGAAGGTTTGTTACGACACATGCCAACAATACTCCAGGTAGAAATGCAGTTTGTCTGCAGTGTTGTGGGATACGGTCCCGCTGATATTTGTTTCCCGTCGGCCCGTTATGCGGTGACGCTCACACTCCCTACAGCGACTGAGGGATTCAGAGCCCTTGTCTCAAACGGACAAAATTGATATTTCATCGAAGGTAAGCTTCTCTTTTATGAAATATTTGTTTACATTTGAGTGTATAGGCTATGTGTAGTACTCGTTTCCAGAATTTGCACAGGCGCCATCATTAAATGATTCCCGCTTCAGACTATTGATGAGGTGCGGAGTAGCTTTTCTAGTACGTTAATTTAACAGTGCAGGTTATTTATGAAACCAATGTGACCATTTTATCTTGGCTAGTTTACAGAAAGCGGGGCATATTAGACCAGAACAAATATTTTTTTATGCACGCTTTTTGGGGGAGAAATCAGTTTTCGTCCTTAGCCTGCTTGCTTTAGCAGACATGTCCCTTTAAACGAGAGAAATGCCCACCATCCACGGTTTTTTTTTTCACAGGCATCACGGGTCATGTC